AGAGAGAGAGAGAGAGAGAGAGAGAGAGAAAGGCAAAGGGGAAAGAAATCGTCGGCCTTGCGGGCAGTCGCGGGCCGATGACAATCGGAAATTCCCCGAGACGGCAAATTATTCGGAGAGCCGAGAGCGAGCCCGTGCACAAAGGATCTCGTCGGTTCCCGACGAGACCTTCGGCGCCGGCCGCGGTGCCGAGATGCTAAATTCAGCTGGGGATGAATATATGCGCGTGTTTACGCCGTCGCGCTCGCGTGCCACTTGTACTCGCCGTCGACGGGACGGGGCTTAAGATCGGAGTGCGTCAGCGATCGAGATAGTCGGTACCGGGTGACACCGCGCTGCAACGACAGATAAATAATAGGCTCTTAAGTGCAACGTGACGTGGGGAGGAGCGCGAAGGGGCCCGTGGGGAACCGACGTCGCCGTTCAAGGACGTGCTCGAGGAAGGGAGGTCGATAGAAAGACGGTCGGACGGACGGAGGTACGGACTCGGCGTGCGTATATGCGCGGAGGTGTACCTCCCCTTGCCCCCCTTTCGTGAATTATATTGGACGTGTCATCGGCCGCTCGGAGAGGCGACGTCGCCTCGCGAGGCGCTCGATAGGGGCTGACCTTCTCGCGGCGCTTCGCTGCGACGTTATCCTCCTCCGCCTTCTCTTCTTCTTCTTCTTTTTCTTCTTCTTCTTCCTCCTCCTCCTCCTCCTCCTCCTCCTCCTCCTCTTCGTCTTCCTCACACGGTCACGCGCTCCGCGCTGACACAGCGACGACGACGACGGCACGACGCGAGAGCGCGACTTCTGTCACCGGCGCTCATATTTCGGAGCGAGAGACGAGACGGGATGACGTCAATCGCGGCCGACGAGCTCGACGTCGTCCGGCAGCGCGTCTTGCGAAACTGCCCGAAAACGCTCCGAACGCTCCGTCCGCTCCGACGGGGCCACCGAACTCGGTCGGCACCGCGCTCGGGTACGCGTCGCCGCGCGGCGCGCATGCGCCCACGTGCCTGTGTCACGGAGCAGGCGGAGTAACCCGATGGGGATGCTCCATGCGGGTGTTTCCAGGTTATGCGGGATTCAGGGCGACGTCCCATGGAGCGAAATACGCGGAAGCGGAATCAGCGGATCGCCAATCACAAGATCGTTTCGATGGAATTTTTGAAAGGGCTCTATCAGAATAATCTTGCGATTGGCGATCCGTTGATTCCGCTTCCGCGTATTCCGCTCCATGACGCCACCCTCACACTGCCAGAAGTGAGCGGGGGGGGGGGGAGTACGCACTTTTGCATAACTGCACAATACGCATAACGAATTTGATTGGTCCATTTCCTTGTGCATTTGCGTATAGACCAATCAAATTCGTTAGTCCCAGTCTACAATAGATGATTTAAGCCCTAAGCTTTAAGAAATTGGCCAATCACGGTCAAGTATGAGTAGAATGCGTGACTGTGATCAACTGTGATTAGTCAATTTCTTAAGGCTTAGGGCTTAAATCTCTATTGTAGACTGGAGCTGCGTTCGGGGAGACGCTATTAGCGCTGAAAACGTCAGTCTATCTTCGTCACTCACTGTACGTCGAACAAAGATAGAAGACGCTTTTAGCGCTGAAAGCGCGCTCCCCGAACGCACCTTGGGACTTATGCATAAGCACTTAGGCAAAAGTGTGTGCCCCCCGCTTTTATCTCTTTTCCTCCATAGCAGAAGAACAAAAGGCCTGTTCTTTATTATTACTGCACTGCTGAACTAGTGCAATAAGTTAAAATGAAACAAATAGATTACCTCTCATTCCAACTCATTGCACTAGTTCATTGCCAGTGTGCACTAGTTCAGGAGTGCAGCAATAAAAAACAGACCCAAAGATAAACTCTGAACTGGTGCAGCCAGTTCAGCTATAAAGAACAGACCCGTTACCAGTGCATCACTAGTCGACCGCCATTACTGTCGCGCATGCGCGATAAACGCGACCCGTCTGACGTCACTGCACTCCAGTGACTCCAGTGCTCCGGCAGACTGCGGTAGAGTGTAGACACGTCTAGCGAACGTCGTAGTGCGTCGTAGTCGGTATTCTCTGCCCGGCATCAGCTGTCGACTGCCATCACGAATTTGTTTTCCGCACTTTGGACTGATCGTGGCAGTCATCTTATTCGAATTTAGTGCCTCGGAAGAGAGACGTCACCGCTCGGTACGACATGACAGACGCCAATAAAACTAATCATTTTTATTACTCTATGAGCGGCGACAGAGAGGAGGATGAGGTTAGTGTCCAACATGATTTACACTTTTTTTTTCTTATGTTTCGTTCCATTCTGTTCGCGGGGATGCGCGCGCTATTTAATTATTTGTGACGATAAATTATAAATATATTTAAAAGGTACATGTGCGTATATAATTCTTTGAACTCTCGAATTGTCGATACCTTTCTGGAATTTCGGAAAATTCGTGGAAATTCACGGAACATCAGGTGCAGCCTCTTTGCTCCATTTATGCTCTTTTGATACTTTGTCGATTTTGGTTTGAATTTAGATGAAATTTAGAAGTGAAACTTGTTGCAGAAACTGTTGGAACCGATCAGATACATTCTTCAAGTTCCTGGAAAACAAATAAGGGCGAAGTTAGCACAGGCCTTTAATTACTGGCTAAGAATATCAGACGATAGACTCCAAGCGATCGATGATATAGTGAATATGCTCCACAACTCTAGCATTCTGTAAGTGTGCGTTTTCCCATATGGCACGCATGTCTGAAAGACATCTTTAAGACGTCTAAGTCGTTTTTTAGACCCCGTTTACAATGAGTTGTTAGTCGTTATAAGTCGGAAGTCGCAACTATATGTTGATCCTTTTCCTTTCCGAGTGGAAGGAAAAAACTACTCAACTTTTTTTTATGTCGGTCCTTTTCCTTCCACTCGGAAAGAAAATGACCGACATAAAAAAAAGTTGAGTAGTTTTTCATATTATAAAAATTTTATAAACAGACAAATATGAAAAAACAGCAATTTTTTCGGAAAAATTCATGACTGACCAAGTTTTTAAAGATTATTTCTTGAAAACTTTGTACAAAGGGGTTTTCGGCTCATTACGAATCTCTGATGTCAGACTTTGAAAATCGAAAATAGTCGACCCAAAATGACGGGTGCAAAAAGTACGTGAATGTTTTCAGTTTTCAAGTTTTTCAACATTTTCGTGTGATTACCCACATAGCACAAATTACTGTTTGCCAGCTGATAGTCGACATTTTTTAGTCACCTTGAAGTCAACTTTTTAAGTCGACATTTAGTCTACTATTTATATAATGGTTTATCGTCGATTTTAACTATAGACTGAAAGTCGACCTAAAGTCGACATTTTCAGGAAGTTTAAAGTCGCCTTTCGGTAAGGCGAAAAATTAACTAAAAAATATTTTTTTGTCTTACCGAAAGACATAAAAATTTTTTGTAAAAAGCTAAAAATCTGATAACGGATTCGTAATCAGCGACCCCTAAAACCGTTGTATACAAAGTTTTACAGAAAATAGTTCGATTGAAAAATGTATGCTTCAAAGGGTTAAAGTAATATTACAAACTTTCTCTATTTTTGCAGGATTGATGATATTCAAGATAATTCCATTTTGCGAAGAGGTATTCCTGTGGCACATTCAGTTTACGGAATTGCCAGCTCATTAAGTGCTGCAAATTATGTGCTATTTATTGCACTGGAAAGAGTTGTTAACTTACAACATCCAGCGGTAAATAATCATGTTATCAGCCATACGTTTTTGCGAAGAAACTCAAGACTCGTGGTATAAATTAAAAATAATAGGTGTTTTTTTATAAACTTTGAAGGCCGGTATTTATAGTATAATTTATCTAATAATTTATCTAAAGATGCTGTACGGAACATTTCATTGCCTATGGAGTGTCTAAAGATGACCTTGAAACAGTTTTAAAGATAAAATCTGACTATGAATACCTGAATAATGAATGTTAATACATATTTCAAATACAACTTTGCAAACAGCATTACAAATAATGATGCCATTGTGTAAATTAATAAATATTAAATACATGTTTTAAATAAATACAAGAAAATTAGTAATTCAAAATATAACAGTATATTATATTATCAGGCAACGAAAGTATATATGGAACAACTACTGGAGCTTCACAGAGGTCAGGGAATGGATATTTTTTGGAGAGATAATTTTATATGTCCTACCGAGGCAGATTACAAGACTATGACAATAAGAAGTAACTAATACTTATACACATCGACTGATCTCTTTCACAAGATCATATCTTGATTCTACGAATTTTTGGGTTTTTCTGCTTATGTGCTGCTTATATGCTTATAAAAAAAAGACAGGAAATTTTGCGCAGTCAAAATACGACCTTGCGAAAGATATCACTCGAACGTTCCTTTCATATACAGGAAGTCTTAAAATAACTGCATGGTTAAAATTCAGTTTTTATGATAGATTTTACATGCGAACTACTTCAAGTTATCCAATTAACATACGAAAGAATTTCTCACCGGTGCCACATTGAAAGATAAAATGCTTAATATAACTTAATTAAGATAACATGCCTAAAGGCCATATGCTTGAAAGATTATTGATGTGTTGTGCAAGCATATTATTTTAGCTTTAATCTTTCTTTAAATGGCAACAGTGAAAAATGCCTTCGTAACAAATACGTTTCCATTCAAATTCTATTCTATTCAAAAATATCCGATACAAATTTTAATTAATTAATTTTGCAGAAACCGGTGGACTCTTTAACTTAGCAGTAAGATTAATGAAACTGTTCTCGACTTGTGACGAAGATTTTTCGTCATTAATAGCTACCTTAGGATTGTATTTCCAAATACGTGACGATTACTGCAACTTGTGCCTCGGTGAGGTAAGCAATAATATGGTTAATTTAATTAAAAAGTGAACTTTTAAATTAACTGAATTTATTTTTGTTGTAGTACACCGAGAATAAAAGTTATTGTGAAGATTTGACTGAAGGAAAATTCAGCTTTCCAATTATTCATGCACTTGCAAGCAATCCTGACGATAGGCAAATAATAAGTATCCTTTACTAAATATTATTATTAGTAAAAACATTGCATTTGTTATACAATTAACATAAGTTTTTCGTTAATCGCTCCATATTTTTACTTCAAAAGGTTTTATGATAAATTAATCAAGTTTGTATATTTCTTTAACGAAGGTGATAAAGATATTCTAAGACAACGAACAAAGGATATCGAAGTAAAACGTCATTGCATTAAATTATTAGAACGATTTGGTTCCTTTAAATATACGAGAAACGTACTTGAGGAACTGGACTCGACCGCGAGATCTGAAATCGAACGTTTAGGTGGTAACCCGCTCTTGGTGAAGATTTTGGACGAGCTCAAGAATTGGGATACCAAAGACGCGCCTAAGGATCTCTTAACTGGAACATTTTAAATTTCCAATTGTTTGTAAAAACAGCATAAGCTTAACATTATAAATGCTTTTTTTATAATTTTACAAAGCTGTTATGCCAATAACCCATCAAGGATTTTATCTTATACAAAAGGTAATGTAGATAAATGTATCAAAAATAATATAATAAAATTTTGTTATTCGATTTTGTGGAGAAAAATGTTCTTAAAATTCTATTGAGCGCTTATGCATTAAAAACAAATAAATACCTACAAAAGCAATCTAGCGCCGTACAATTTACAGCGCTTTCTGTCGAACAGAAATGTTTTATTGTATTTGCATGTATGTGAGTATTCTGTATTATGCGTATTGTCCTACAATAGATATAATTTATTAGAATTTGTAAAAATATGTACATACATGGTGACTTGAACATTTAATTGTGTTAAGAAATTTGAATAAATGGGTCTCTCAATAGTAAAATTAGCAAATAGCAAGTCAAAAAAAGCTTTTAGAGTATATCGTCGTTGATAATGCTTACCATTAGTTGTGTTGAAAATAGGTTTTTACATAAAGTTGCAACATTAATTGGTCATCAAAATAATGTTTTAACTTTTACATTATTTATTACGCATCATCGTAGCTCTTTGCTACACAAAAATATTGTATTGACAACATACACGTCAATAAGACTTTAATATTTTTTTAATAATTCTGTTTGTTTAAGTATAAAAAATGGAGTTGGTCTCACAAATATTTTTCTATATAAAAAAGTAAGTCGAATAGAAGGCTTTTAGAAAGTATTTATTAGCAATGTTATATATATTGACAATTTAATAGTATATCGAATGATCGCTTTATAATGAAATTTTACGACTGTTTTGTACGTGTCATACAGTTATATATTATACCTTTATACCTATCATTTCCTAAAAGACATAACGCATAGAAAATTATATATAACTAACCAGTGTCTAAGAAAAATATTCGGGTACATTTATTCCCTCACGCTCACGCACAGCGATGTGATATCCCGCATTGTTTTTCCTCTCGCAGATTTAAATCAATAAATTCAATCTCTCTCTCTCTCTCTCTCTCTCTCTCTCTCTCTCTCTCTCTCTCTCTCTCTCTCTCTCTCTCTCTCTCTCTCATGTCTTAATTCTTATTGTTAAATTAACTGAATCTCTCACAATGACTTCTCTCCTTTATATAATTTTAGAAGGCATTATTCGGCCTCGCACATTTCTTGCGTTCGTTCTTGCCGCATCCAGAATCGAGTGCTGAATTGACTCCCCTTGATACACAACGAGACCGAGGTCCATTGTCACGGACTAAGACAGCGTGGCGATTTGACACGTCCTCTGTTCAAGCTCACTATCCTCGTCGGATTCGCTGGCCCAGGAGGACCGTCGCTCGTGTCATATCTCACCGTCGCTGTCACCAGGGCAGCGTCCTGCTCCTGACACGCCGTCATCGAGAACCTCCGTCACCTCGCGAAACAGACAATGATTGATAGAGGCGATCGAGAAAAAGTACATTTTAATGGCGCACAATAAATCAATATTTCGCGAGGAAGGGACGAGGGGAGAGGGCGATTAAAGTAAAATTAATTCACCGACTTCTTGCGGCAATTTTGGATCGTCAGTCTCGAGAACACTCACCAGAACTTCCTCGAATCGGTCGTAATTCTCCTGCCTGGAATTCAAGAGGCTCTCGCCTACCGAGTCGGCGCCCGATTGGCAATGATCTCGTCGTCCCAGCGCGCTCGATGCAATATGCAGTAAGGACAGTACCGCCAGCAGACCGGCTGCAAGCACATATACCTGTTCAGGACCTCACGAAAATGGAGTTGAAGGAGCCGGTGTCCTTACCCGCGACGTAGGACAGCCAAAGTCTGTTTGGTCGCCACGCCAGGATGCAGGACAACGGTAGATAAAACAATGCCCTTCGCCAGCCCCGCGTGGCCGCCAGAACGCCGGACCAGCAACGCGAGCAGGTAGAAGAATCCTCGTTCCTGAGAACACGAGACGTCCTAAGAACACATACCGTTCTCTCGTAAAAAGGGATATTTGCGTTCGCGAGACTGAAGGAATCATTTCCTAGAGCAACGCGTTTTAAACAAGGGTATTTATATCAATTAAATAATTTATCTAAATTGTTTTCGCGAGTTAAATGAATGGTTACTAAACGTCTTTTAGACGAATCAATTCACTATTTTAAGTTTATTCCAACATTTTAGACGATTTTAAAATTACATTTTAGTTCAAGTCGATCTAATTGCGAATCGAATCGAGAATCTAATTGAGAATCGAATCGAGGCTCTATTCTATTCTATTTGCCAATGCAGATGACACATTAGTTAAGTTTCTCCGGAGCGAGCGAAATGTCTCTTAAAAATGTATCCCGTAAGATCTTCTCTCTATAAGTTCTGTAATTCCACAATTTTTCCTTCTTATCGTTCTTCGCTCTTTCTCTCCCGTTCTACGGTGGCCGCATAACTTATAAAGATACGGCGTTCCAAACTTTTTTTACAAACTAGATCTCTTAGTTGACACAATGTTGTAAAAGTATTTACACGAGTTATCTGACGTTCGCGCAACTAGAGGATTTGCCCTCGATTTGCATTCGATAAACAGAACTTTTTGCGAGAACGACGTCTCCCGCTGAGTTCCGCAGGCGAGCAATCGGCGTTTAGTCCTGATTACGGCCCCATCAATTCCCACTTAAGTTTCCTTCTTAAAGAGTCGGGGGAGCGAGGCGATTTTTCCGTCGATACAACTTTCCGCGTCGAATATACTCTCGCACCGAGCGCGCCCTTTATAAGAATTAACAAATCGCTCGGAACGCGCAAATGCGATACCGAGTCAAAATGAAAACCCAATTTGTCATGCAGTATCTTACACAAGTATAGTTTTACCCTCTCTACATATTTGCCATGGCTAATGTAGTACACGGGAATCGTTTGTCCAACTGAAACAGATTACGCCAGCGTGCGCGGCGGGAATTGCGTTTGCAGCGCGATTTAGCGGAAATCGCCGCGGAAACTGTATCGAGAAGAACATCGCCGGGAAGCGATTTGCCCGAGCTTATCGGAGGAATCTCCGCGGAGATAATTATCACGTGCGTTTCGGAGCTACTGCTAATTTACGAAATTAGCCGTCGCGGCGAGCGTAAACTCGCGTAATCAGCTCGCGGTCGATTAATGTCGTTACGACGGCGATGAAAAGAGAAGAGCGCCGACGATCTTTGCCAACGTGCCGGGGCTTCGGGACGAAACCTTTCTCGTGTCGTCGTAGGTGGTTGAGAAACTCGACGGGGCCAATTGAGAGGACGCTCGTCCCGCGATATTCCTTTAACAATTGCCTCGCCGAAATATTCCTAATTGAATTACTCCCCGGGACGAAGGGGGAGAAGCGAGGGGGAGAGGCGGACGGATCTTGAGCCCCGCGCGGGTGAACGGATATATAAAAGATGTCTCCGTTGGAAATCCGTTTTTCTGCAAAGCGACGCTATCTCCCCCTCCCGCCGCTCGATCATCTCCGCGTGGATCGGAGTGATCGATCGTTCCCGACCGGCAGTTCTAAACGGGCACCGTCGTCGGGGACATAAACTACCGCGGCAGCGTCGATTCCGGATGGATCGCCAAGCTAAGTTACTCGATAAAACCGTGGAGCCCTGCGGAACTTCTTTTACTACTTCATCCCACGAGCTTCCGCCGAACCCTGGCGACGTCGTCCCATTGGCCGTCTCGCGCTGATCGATATGAGCAAATTAACCGGTAAAAACCGGCTGACAACCCGCGCGGCGACCCAGGACACGTTTACCGGGAGCCCCGACAACGTTCGCGAATGCATCAACCGCCGCGAGGAGAAGCGACGCAAAGTACAACGGAAAGCGCGAAGGCCGGAGGGATCTCGACGCGGGGATCCGCGGTGCGCGCGGCAGCATCGGCTCGTTAATTAATTATTGTATACCTCCGCAATTAGCTCGGAAGACGCGAGAAAGTTTTTTTATCTTCATTTTGAGCCTTGCGTGACGCATTTGTCTGGCTTAAAGACGACTACCACCGCGCTTCGCAAAGCGTTATCTAGTTGCCGGTGGTCCACCGCGCGCTTTCCTCAACGCCTCCCTCCCCCCCCCCTCGTCGGGGGAGATGCAGGGAAAACTGGGGCGAACTTCCGACCTGCTTGGTAATTGCCGGGCTTTGCGCCGCTTCTTTTACGTGTTATCCCGCTCGGACCTCGAACGGTAATTCCCCGGGGTCCTTTCAACCCCCCGCCCGTGTCCGCGCCGAGCATATTGTTCCCGATATACATGCACTAATTTCGAGCAATTTGCAGAGTCACCGCCGTACACGCGCGTTACGATCGTACGTTGCACCGTGAGACCGGTATTAAAATCTGACCGCTTACTTTTTATGTACCGTACACGGAAGAAAAAGAAGTTGTGGCAACGAGATCGGCGTAATTGAGGTAAAATCGTCGAAGCAACATCCAGTGAAAAGCACGAGACAGTTTCAATGGCTGCGCTCGGCAGAAAAAGCTGCTTTGCGACTGTTGTAAAATTCGTGAATCTGCAATTGGCGTGTTCTCTTCATCTTGAGTGATTTTAAGAGCATATTGCCAATCAGATTAACGAATTTTACAACAGTTGCAAAGCAGCTTTTTTTTCTGCTGAACGTAGGGAATGCTTAAAATTATTATTCAATCCACAACCAATACGATTGAGCGAATTATTTATGTTCGCGGCAGCCCGTGACTTTAATTCAAGCAGCTTTATTTTTTGGTTAATTCAACGGCAATTTCTTTCCGTGATATAATATATAAATTATACGATACACTGTGAAATACATTATGAATTATATAATGTATATTTATGTATTTATGTGAACGTATTTTAGAAGTGTATTTTACGTTAATTTTACATTTAAATTCATTTCTTGATCCGCGGGCAAATTTAAATGTGGAGTTAAGCGGACAGATGCGTAAGCGGGACTCGAGAACGTATCCCTTTCCCAAATGTCAAGATCAACGGTAGTTAACGTTCGTCCAAACGTACCTGACGCAGAGCTGCACGAACAGCGTGATGGCCCAGGTTACCTCCAGGAAGAAGATCACGCCCGACGCCGCCCTGCAATCGAAGACACACGAGAATTAGCGGGCGAAGCCGCGCCTGGGGGTGAGACCGAGTGTGACACAAAAGTTCGCGTCCCGTCGTTGGAACATACGTCGCAAGTTCGCACCGCCCAGCGAGGGCATTTTGGATACGAGGGAATAAGAGGGAGAGAACAGCAGCGAGTTTTACAGTCCCTACGAAGTCGGTGCCCCCGCGAAAGTAACCCGTACAGCACGCATGTCTAAAAGATCTTCAAGACATCTTTAAGTCGTCTTTCAGACACGCGTGCTGTATGGAAACAATTCCATCACGCGAGAGACGCTCGTTCCAATATTCATACACCAATCTATATCGCGGAAACGTGATCCGACTTGGTCGGTGACGCTGGATGGCGCGAAAGAGTTTCGTCCCCGAGTTTTACGGTCCCTACAAAGTTAGCCCCCACGCGCAGCTGTTTTTTTTTTAATAGTAACAAATAAGACTGTAAAGAAAGTAACAATTTCATCGCACGAGCGACGTTCATTCCAATATTCATACACCAATCTGTATCGCGGAAACGTGATCCGACTTGGTCGGTGACGCTGGATGGCGCGAAAGAGTTTCGATCCCGAAAAATGCCGATCTTCCCCTTCGCACGGTCGCGCGTGATCAATGAACAAGGACGCGCCGACGTAGAACCGCGTAAAAAATGCAAGACATCTCTCTCAATTTCCCACTCCGCGAGATTCTCCAACGGCGCCAGTTAGGCAGTGTCTGCGAAAAATTGCAACGGACCAGACGTAATACTTGTTTTCTTGCGCCGCTGTATATACGCGCCGCTTTATTGCGTGCGCGCCGACGAAACCTCGCTGCAGATGCTTACGCAAGGTCTAATCAAACGCTATCGCTCTCTTGTGTAAATACGTCGGAATTGCGAATTGAATATAATTTGTGGGTAACGTCAATACATTACAAATGCAGCGCTGTCTACATAAATTAAAATGTAGTTAAAAATTGAGATCTGATTATTCGCTTCAGACTTTAAGGTAGTTCTTTCGTAAAATCAGTTATGTGAGAATTGTTTCAAATTTTTACAGTTTATTCTTTACATAAATACGTGCAAAATAAGACTAATTAAATTAAAATTGACCGTCTCAAAGTTCTAAAAAAAATTGTTAAAGTTTACTATGTTACACGAAATATTATGTGTAAAACACGTTAAAAATATTATTACATGTAACAATATAATTCGTTGTGATATTACATGTCAAATATTATTTACACATATTATTATGTTTTAGAATATTAATATTTGCATTTGCAAACGCAAATGGTGGCACATTTTATTTTTTTAAATAACGATGAGTGAGATTCGTATGAGAAACAAATATGTTATAAAGTAAAATAGAACGAATAATTGGAAAAAAAATCAAAATTATTGACCGTTTCGTTTCAACAATATAAACAGTTAAAACTGAAAAATGGGAAGAATTATGTAGTAGATATGAGTGTAGCGTAAGAGATGTGGCAACAGCACCTCAAACTACAATCTTTCGAATCGTTTTTATATTATGTATTAATCGTAAGTGTATGCTTTAGAACAATATTGCACCAAGATATATCATTGTAATAATTGAGTGCTGGTTCCTGTCTGGAAGAAACTTTTGAGCATTACTGTCGCGAAACAACTACCTTAAATGGTTCGTAATTGAGAGAAATCGAGACAGAATTTTTATTTACAGTTTCGCCTTTGTATTTTTTCTTAAATAATTTAACTTTATATTCAACCGCGAGGGGACGCCGTTCTCGTGAAAATGACTTTACGGGAATTGTAACGTTGCGAAATTGCGGACGGAACACTCTGATAGTTCCAAACCGAGCAAGTAGATTCTTTTCAGACGCGAGCGAAGGGGAGTCTGAAATCCTATTTACCAAGTTACAAGGATTATTCTAATATATGTACACGCGTTAAGGATCTGCCGGACTGTCAGCTTTTCCATTTTCTCCGTGGCCGAATAAATACCTCGTCTCGAGGATAATCTCGTTTAGACATCGCGCTTCCGTTGCCGATAATCTAATCGCCCCTAAATTAGATTCCTCGAGGGCGGATCGAAAGTGGATTGCTCGACGAGCAAAGGCGATCGGAAAGATTTCCAGAGTCGTTCATCGTGCTTAATTATGTGCTAGCGTCCAACAAAATGGATTTTATCCGGGAATCGCGAGTGAAGCACGCAGCTGAGGCATAACAATCCATAAGTAATAAAGAGTAACGTTATTATTTAAATTAGACTCTCGTGCTCGCCCTCTCGGCTCGCATTAAAAGCGGAATATTACTTCGCTCTGCTCGCTCAATAATTTACATGTACATGAATATTCTATTATTTACACAGCAAAAACATCGAGGGAAGAATTCGTCCGCGGTGGGGTCCAAGGTTTCGGTTATTCTCGTCGGATCGCGTCCAAAACCGCGGGGTGTCCCCTCAGCCGCGGACCTTCCGCGAAAACTCGAAACGAAACGATCAACGGTCGCTCCGTATTTTTCAACGTCTGCATCGAAACAACGAGGTAGTCCCAAGTCAAATGGCAAGCAACTCTGTCCGGGAAGGAGACATCCGTTAGCGGTAGACGCCTTTCGGGTGGGTCTCAACGATCTCGAGGTACCGTCGCGCGTGCGACGCGTACGTCCGTCGCCGCGCCGGAGCGCGCGGTGATAAATTCGCCGTCCTCGGCAGAACGGACGGATAATGATCGCCCCGGCGAGAAAACGGTGAATTAAGAGGGACGGACGGGGGAAAATCTCTGCCCCGTAAAATCGAACCTCTCGGTTCGATTGGAAGAAGCCTCGGCTCCAGGCTCCGGCCGTCGCGGGGGAGGCGCCGATCATCCTCCCCGACGACGCGCTCTCCTCCTCTCGATTCACTCGCCTCACGCGGACGGCCGACGGTCTCTCCCTCGCGCAACGTCGACGCGAGGATCGCGATCGGAGGGCTGATAATGCGTGAATTGAATTACGGTATACGCATGTTGAATTATCCTCACGTAACGTAAAGCCCCATGACGTGCCGATGGTACGCCACATCCGCGCCGACGCCGCACACAACTGCAACAGACAGAAAGAGGATCAAAAAGATTGCATCCCCGCCCGTTTGACGAATCCCTCGTCTCGCGCGGCCAGGCGCTACCAATATCCCGACCGGGCTGACGACCCCCTCGAAACGGTATTATATTTTTGCGCCGGACGCGCGAGACGCGAAATTTATAACCGGGGCCGCGCAACTCATACGCGAATCGATCTCGGTTTGTAAGTGCACTGTAAAAAAAATGTATGTAAAATTAGGGGATCCCAAAGCCGTTTTATCGACGTTCTTCGTTAGAATCAATCTTTTAATTTGGCTTTTATAGAAACGCAAAGCTCTTCTACGGAATTAAAGCACGCAGCAAAATCTAGACTACGCTGGTTGACTTTATATCAAGACCGAGAAAAAAAATAAAGACAATATTTGCTTGATACAAGAATTCTACAATAAGTATATGCAAAATGAGACCAGCGTATGCTCTAGGGACAACATATGAGAACAATAACGTGCAGTTTTTCGGGCCAAAGGAGTGGAATCGCGGCGCGATTTTTTTCCAACGTTGCGCCAAACGGCGGCAATCTCCCCGAAATGATCCGTTTAACGGCAGTTTTTCGATCTTCCCTGCTCCCCCCCCCCCCGTAACTTTGCGCGGTCCGTCTGACCTCGCAGCCGAAGGAAACGCATATTTTCGGGCATACTTCGCGGCACGAGTTCCCCTCGCGCTCGCGCATGCCGGCGCATTAATTACGGGCCAGATATTCGCTTGTGTATTCCAAACGTGTGGACGCATATGCATTTCGGGATTTTTCACTACTCAGTAACGTTGCGATAATTGTTGCGATAATTAGGCGGGACGCCCGGACACTTGGCTCGCTCCGAAGCGGAGGTGGCCGACAGGCAGCTCATAGGATATCCCGATATTCGATGTAAAACACGCGCGTGATATTCCATTAAGAGAGGGAGGAAGAGAGGTCTCAATTTTCAGAGGGAGGGGAAAAAAGATATTTTAAACACAACCGGGGAATATCAAGCGAAAGGTATCGGTCGTATATGAGAGGACGCGAGTCGCCCGTGGCAAGATATCGAGAGGTCCCGCATTAATCTCCGCATCTCGGCGAATATAAAATTATTCTATTGTATACGCCGGGGAGAGTGTATGTACACACGCTGCGCAAGTATCGCGTGTACAATGGATCGACTATATTCCGGTCTGACAGGAAATCAATACGCAGCAGGTTCGAACGTCGAATAGGATTTTTTTCCTCGCGGGGCGACGGATCGACTTGAACGTCTACGAAGGGCGAAGGGGCAGGGGGAGGGGGAGGGGGGGGGAGAAGGGGACACGGGACAAAGCCGATCATCTCGAATCGATGTAATTGCACCCGGGAGAAATCGCGCGTTGTATGTGTCAGGACAAATATATGGGATGATCGCACGTGGGCGGCGCTCATTCCCGTTCGCGAAACATGAAGCTAATTGCGAGCGAGATGCGTTACCTCGAAGTCACGTTGGCGAAAAGGAAGATTAGTTATTGATCCATAAGAAAGCTGATGGTAGCGCGTAGTGAAAATTGCGAAAGCAATTATTTACCGTGCTGGCCCTACGAGAGTCGATTTCTTATTTTGACACAAATTTTATCGGAGTTGGCGACAGGAATCGTTAAATAAAAGAAATTAATTACCGAGCCATTCCTG